CACACTGGTTGGACACTTCTTACGGACATCACGGTCCAGTTCCTCCCATAGCAGCTCAATGGGGTTAAGGTCAGGTGATTGGGCAGGCCACTCCATGATAGACAAGACACCAGCTCGGATGCCTAGAGTATGTAGAGCTGTAATAGCTGCTAATGGGGATTTCTTTGATGAATCCAAAATTTGAGTATTTTTCTATGTTCATGTTCATAAACTTTTTATTTAATAAAATATGTTTTCATAGTTTGTGTTGTCCCTTATTATCAATGCAAAATGGTCACTAACTAAAGAGGATTTATGCTGATATTGCCCAAAAACCCTATTTTGTTCAGGCGTTTCCAAACTTTTGGAGGGCAGTGTATATGTGACAAATAAAGGCTTTTTTTTTTTTTTTTTTTTTTTTTTTTTTTTTTTTTTTTTTTTTTTTTTTTTTTTTTTTTAACATGTCACAGAGGACACAACTGTTAACCTTCACCCTCTCCAGTTGATAGCCGTCGTATAATAGGTGAGTCAGTGGGAAGTGGGGACCAAATAAGGGAGGGAAAAATGGGGGGGGGGGGATTTGGGTAATGAAGACGAAAGGTTTTAATACAGAAAATTGCTTTTAATACTTCTGTATTTTTGTGAATTCAGATCAGGGCACAATGAGGTGCTTCCAGCGTTGTCTGTTCCAGTGTCTCTTTCACAACCACTTATACAGTGCTCTAAATAGAAATGTCTACATAGTGTAAAAAAAAAAAGTCTTTGACAGTTTAAATAAATTTAAAAAAAGGCAGACGAAAAATGACCTAATAGAAAACTACATAGACAGCAATGATAGAATGATGATAGAAGCAAATGACCCACATTAAAAAACAGGGCTCACTAGTCACTCTATTTACAGGAGACAAAACGCAGTGGTGGGGTGGCACGGTGGCGCAGAGGGTAGTGCTGCCACCTCATAGCTCCAGGGTCACTAGTTCGATCCTGAGCTCAGGTCACTGTGTGTGTGAGTTTTGCATGTTCCCCCAGTGTCCGAGTGGGTTTCCTCTAGGTTCTCCAGTTTCCTCCCACATCCCAAAAAAATGGCAGTAGGTAGAATTGCCACTCTAAATTGCCCCTAGGTGTGAATGTGTGTGTGCGCATGGTGTCCTGTGACGGATTGGCATCCCATCCTTGGATAGGCTTAGGACCACTGAGGACTTGCATAGAATTGGTGTAAAGGCTACAATACACCAAATCAAAACAGCTAAATACAGGTCATTACAGGAAAAAAAAAAAAAAAGAGAGGGCTCTTATTTCTGTAGAGGAAACCTTGGCAGATAGGTTCATGAATGACCAAAAGGATGAACAAAAGATGTGTCTGAATACTTATCAAGGCATGTCTTATCTTTGCTCCAGTTATACCGTTAAAGATTAAAACAGCAATTGTATTGAACCTCAGTAAGATCTCTGATTAGACAAGCTCTAGAGGAGAGATAGGTAACATAACAGAGGCTGGATATCACCAAAAGATGGGAAATGAAGTGTGCAGTACTGCAGTGGAAAGAAAGAAAGGGAAAAAATGACACTGTTGCACATTCGGGTCGGCCAGCTATAGAGGAGATGACGCACAGATGAGTTACAGAGGAAAACAGATAGGGTAAGACAGTCGAAAGAAGAGGGAGTGGTGCCTGGCTGGCGTGAGAAACAGTCACCTCTGAGTGAGGCATCACACAGAAATCTGGCAAACTGTTGCTCTTTCCCTTGCCTTGGTCGGACATCAAAGTCAAGAGTACAGCCCAAAATGAGGGATTATAATTACACAGCACTGCTGACTTATCGATTCTGATTGGGCAGAAGATGTTGCTAAATGTTCACTGGTTGCAATGCAAATAACAGGTTCATATTAATGAGGTCATTCTATTATGTTACTGTTTGGCTACACAACACGTACACTGAGATATTTTTTAAAAAGGCGTGTAATCGGTGATATGTTGAAACTTTTAAACTTTTATGTTCATTTAGTGTTTTTGGAAGGAGTCTCCAGTGTCAGTGGTGAAGGTGGCCCTATAATCTTCACATCCTGATTCAAAGTATACAACAACAGGTCAACAGTATTTTATGAGCGTTTTGAATATATGTGTGTGTGTGTGTGTGTGTGTGTGTGTGATCAGCTCAACAAGGTGGAATCTATGATATAACTGATGGCTTCTTCTTCTGGCCACACGTACATCTAACGACCGTTAGCGCATCCAAATAGAGACCTGCCTCAGCACGTCTGAGAGTATGCGTTATACAAACTACAAACTATAGTAACGATACACACATTCCTGCAAGCTGTAACGGCTCAGTGTTGTGAGTGCAAATTGCTCCAGGACAATCGGCTCGTTCTTTCCCCTTCAATCCACAGCATCTGAACGGGAAAGAATATTTGCATGCACTCCACTGTGGCAGGACATCTTTTGCATCTCGATACCAGACACATCCCGATTTTAGCGTCGTGAGTGTATTTGATAGCAACGTTATTAATATGGAAAGATTGTCTGGTGGTAGATCGTGTTTTAAATGATTAGGCTAAATAAAAAAAAATTGGTGTCATCACTGCTCCTACTGCTGTCTGACGTCCACCTAAAATGCCCAAACGTGCCATGCTTACCGATTTACATCACATTTATGGAATTTGGCAGATGCCCTTATCCAGAGTGACTTACATTTATCTCATTTACACAATTGAGCAGTTGAGGGTTAAGAAAAAACTGTCATGATTTTATTTTATATATTTCTTCATTCCACCAAAATTTATTTCTGGTTACGCCTCAGCAAGCACAACACACGACATGTTTCTGAATGGTTTTTAGATACGAGTGCGACTCACATCAAGTGCAGCACACAGGCGTTGATTTAAGCTCCCAAAACTGGAGTGCACGTATATACAGTGGCTTATGGTAACTGCCTTTCGAATGGCCACGCTACAGGTTGCTATAAATTCTGGGCAGTGTGAAAACGTTGCACAGTAGTGTATTAGTAGCCATTTCAGTATTAATTTTTCCAAGTTCATGCGGGCCAAACGAAACAAGGCTGCAGGCTAGATTTGTGTTTGACACGTGCCATAACACTTCCTCCTGATTATCTTAACTTTTCGGACTATTAAGTAAGCATGCTTCGGGTCCCTGGAGGACTAGCGGTTAGGCTGCGGCACTCCCACTGCCGTGGCCGGGGTTCAATTCCCAGCCAGGGAACCAACCCCAGCCAGTCCCAACCCCGGATAAAAAGTTGGGGAGCGTCAGGAAGGGCATCCGGCGTAAAACCTATGCCAAATCGAAAACACGTGGGCCAATGATCCGCTATAGTGATCCCTAACGGGAGCAGCCGAAAGAACAACATCATCAAGTAATCATGCTTCAAAACAGTTAGGTTCTCACTCACAAACTTCATGCTCTGTATGCTACTACCTCTGGTACTGCCTAGTGTGTAACTAGAGGTAGAGCTCATTATGAATATTAAATATTCCGATACACCTCAGAGAAGTGAAATTCTGTCTCATGCCTAGCCTATAGCGTTGTAATTCATTTTTACTGTTTTAATGCTGCACTTGGGTTTTGCCAGCAGTTCATTAGCTAAATCGTACATCATAATACAATATTGTGTATTGTACAAATGTCTAAGTATCGTGATATATTTGCCATATCACCCATCCCTACTCCTTATTGACTTTCGCAAAACAAATGCTTTTATTTGGTATATGTGCTTCACGATGGTGTGACGCATCTCGACAGAACCATTTTGCGCTAGCTGGAGTAATCATTGTGCACGAACGATGGACGATCTTTACAGAATCAGTTAGGTTTGCAGAAACACTGACAAAACGCAACAAAATAAAGTGCAGTGTACAGAGAAGATAAGGAAACTAGCTAGAATCGAATAATATCGTTTGCATACAATAGCTCATAGCTGAAACATTGGCCAATGACGCGCTGAGATGATGTGCTACATGTTCATATTCATTATTCTGTATTTCTGCACTTGACTAGCTAACTAGCTCACCATATGTTATTAGCTAGCACTTTTTTTTTTATCCTAGTCAGTTTTATCCTAGTCAGTTAGGTTTTCCGACCGGGCAGCACACTGGAGCCTGCTGGTCTAGATAATTTATTAGCATGTTATTTTTATTTGTATTTATATTTTATTAGCTAGTTTTGCACCTCTTTAGAAAAATACAGATTAAAAGTGTCCTGACATATCTCGTCAAAGCATCAATATTTTGACTTTTAGCTTTTAAGTTAAAAAAAAACTTAACTTAAGGGTTAAGTTTTATAATTGCTGTCATTTCCACTGAGATTCTCTTATCTGCAAAACTTCTGGTGTATGGAACCCAAACTTATGACTCACACCACCACAAGATAATCTGAAACAACACTAAGAGCATCTGTTAGCGTGCACCCACTAGAGATTAACATGTGTCTGTGCCTGAGAAGAGCCCGTTCTCTGGAAAATCGCTCTAGGATTCGACACCCCTCCCTGCGTCTCATGCTGTTACATAAGAACCCGACCCTGAACGAGCTGCAGGATGAGTCGCTCGCAGTTCCTCCAACGGAGAACGCTGCTCTTCATGGGTTTTGACCTTGTGCTGTTGTGCTCCATGGGATTTACTTTTTAAGAGCTTTATTAGCTTCTGGGTTGCCAAATTTGCAAACAAGACCTAAACAAATAAAACACACACATGCGCTGAGATCTGTGGGGTGTGTGTGTGTGTGCGCGCGCGCATCTATAGGCCAAAGAACAAACAGCCAAACCCTCCCACACACTTAAAGCAAGTTAATAAGAGGCTTTACTAAGACATTTAACAGCGTCTCTCACTGGAGTGCTGGACTCTATTACAGAGAGAAGTCTTCTGCTCCTCCACTTAGTCAGGAAAAAACACTAGAGGTCGGTGCAAAAGTTTGCACACCCTTAGGACAAAATGAAGGCAGACACACTTAGGTTTAACCAACAATAGGTTAAGCGCAAGTTTAGTTTCACAGATGTTCTCATTAACAGAGATTTTAAAAATCGAGAGAAAAAGAAAGAAAGAATGACAGGAAGAAAGGAAGAAGAGACCAAAACATAGACAGAAAGAGAATGAGACAGACAGAGACCCAGAAGAAAGACATGAAGAAAACAGCAGGCAGAAGAAAGAGAAAGAAAGACAAAAAAGAAAAAGACAGAATTAGAAAGAAAGAAAAGAACCAGGAAAAAAAAAAAGAAAAGAAAGAGAGAACCGTTTCCTGTTCTGTTGTGATTATTCCTTCCTTCCTCTGATCAGATGTGTTCACTGAGAGCCTCGTCACAAAATTTGCTTCTTTTCTTACTATTTTCTCTTCATTTGGTCTTTTGTTTTGGATTGTCTTCTACAGGACTGACCCAAGGGCTCTTTTGACACTACATTTTTTGGGTACATAAATAAGTTAAAAAAGAAAAAGTATATAAAAAATCAACTGTATACTTCATACTACTGTTGCCAAACTTACACATACAGAGTTCACACACTAACGTTTTCCAGTCATCCTACATTTAGCTTACTGGTGAGTTTGACTGAAAGAGGGATTAAGTGCAAAGGATGCTCTAGTGTGCGCGCACACACACACACACACACACACACACACACACACACACACACACACACAGAGAGAGCCACACAGACGAATGCAGCAGTGTCACTTAAAGAATGAGTAAACCACAGCTCTAAAATCAGTGTGGGGCTTTTCCCTGGGGTAAGAAACGGGAAGAAGGAAGGGGAAACAAGGAAGGGGAAGAAGGGGGAAGAAGTGTATAATTGTAGCGTAGGTGAGGCGTCTGCGTACAGGTGTGTAATTAAGAGCTGAGACGTAATAACACTGAGGAGAAAGAGGTCTCGATACCACTCCAGCGTACCGGCTCACACACGTCCACACTGAAAAACACATCAACGCTCCTCCATAAACAGCTACTGACTCAGGGTTAAAGCGAGAGAAGAGAGATATCACTCATCTCCTTCATTCCTCTTCCTTACACTCATCACTCTACTCCTCATTATACACTCAACTCAACAGAAAGAAAGAAAGAAAGAAAGAAAGAGAGAGAGAGAGAGGGACAAAAAACAGAGACAGACAGACAAAGACAGAAAGAACGAGAGAATGACAGAGACAGACAGACTAAAAGAAAAGGGGAGGTAGACAAACTGAAAGAGACAGACAGAGGCAGACAGGCGGACAGGACAGACACAGTGAAAATGAAAAAGAAAGAAAGAAAGAAAGAAAGACAGATGAACAGACATTAAGAAAGAAAAAAGAAAGAAAGACAGACACGCAGACAGACAGAAAAAAAAAGGCAGACAGACAGACAGATCAGTCACGGTGTGTGCATGCTGTGGACTTGTAAGTAAATTAGAGTGTATTTTCTGAATCAGTGTGTAGTGAACTGCTCATGCTGTGTATATAATAACAGATTAAGAAGATAATAATAACAGAACAATAACAGAACGCTAGGCCGCATGCACACGTGTGCAGTGGATATTCTGAAGCTGATGTGATGGCTGTGGAAACACGACGTATTCTCAGCGCTGGGAAATGTCCAGCCGAACAGCTGGATGTGTGCTAAGCTCTCGGATTTATTCTGCATGCTGCTGTGTGCTCAGTTTCACTGCCGCAGACACAAAACCCCAATAATGAGTGTGCATACCTGTAGAGCTAAAGTACTGGAAACAGCACAAGCAGGTGTGTGTGTGTGCACGCGTGTGTGTGTGTGTATCCTAGCAACAACAAAACTCAGACACTATATAACAGTTTATATGAGCTCATTTCCAGGAGCGACACTTGCACTGCTTTCTTCCTTAATTCTGAAAAACAGTCACAGAGGATTGGGAATCATATGAGCGTAATTGGAAAAAAACGGATCTGGATAAATCAACGATACAGAGCTCCGGGCCAGTGAAAAGGTACATTAACCAAACGAGTGACCAAAAGGCAGAAAATTTGGAAGGGCTTCTCTGAAGAACGAGAGAAAATAAAACAGTGACCTGTTTTTAACTGTTTCAAGGCACAAAATATTCATCAATCCAAGTATTAAAAACGGCCAAGGTAGCAGATTTCAGCGTCGAGCGGGACGTAAAGCTCTTTTCTCAGGTTAACGTGTGTACTCTGGAAACTTGCTTTGTTTTCATCAAGAGCAAAATGGGATCAACACGCGCAGGAATACATTTTAGGTGACGGAAATATTCAACACCTGGAATTTCATGCAGATTATTTATTTATTTTATTTTTTTCAGCCACCGTCTCGTACTCCTTTACCGTCACCATGCTGCTTGTTTTTTCAGGCACTAACACCAATCAAACACTAATCTACACTTCTTCACACGACTGGCTACCCAGTAATCACTGATACACATCGGGGTTGTTGAAGATTGTTCATTAGTTTTAGCCCCAAAAATGGAAGAACAAGCAAAGGAAAAACACAAGGGCTAAACTCTGTCGAACATCTACACTGAAAAAAAATAATTGCAGTGTGATTTACTCAAGAAAAATGGGGTAACAATTTTGACACAAATTTTTAGTACATTTTTTTTTAAATAAGCATATTTTCAAAGTAAGATTTACATGGCACCAATTTTTCTATAAAATGGCAAGTAAATTAACTAGTTAATCTAAATGATTACCAAACATGAACAAGAAAAGTGAGATCTAACGTCTGATTTCACAAATCATTTATCATCATCATTACAACTTAATGGCCACGAACACCTTAAATCATTCCAACCAGAAATAGGACTCCAATGAGTCCACGCACTTACATCAGACTTACAACTTACGTGCACGCACAAACCATACACCGGACTGGGAAACACAAAGCAGGTGAACCAAGAAAACTTTACTGAAACACTATCTTTCAAAGCATTTCATAATACAATAGTCTTACGCCTTAAAGCCAATACAAAACAAGTAATCCATAATGCTCAAATTTCATTTCATCAGTTTCGTTCGCAAGCAAATATGCAAATCGAGTTCTAAAACCAAGCCCCCACAGTAGCCTGCAGTCGGTTCAAGGAAACATTACTCGTTTTATTTTCTCTAGCTTTGTATGCACTTGCAAAATAATAGTACATCTAACCCAGTAAAGTAAGTAAAAATATACTTCGGGTTTCAGCCGCATATTTACATGAATTAATTTAGTAAATTTAAGTAATTCTAATAATTTACTTTTTGGTGTAAAAATCACAAAAACACCA